GGTGGTGGGAGTCAAAACGCAAATATTGGTCTGTGTGGGTGGGCTCACGATATATGCCAGTTTACAACTGTGACATATAATTGAACAGATACCAATTTCTTTATTGTGTATGACAAACCTGCAAGGTAGATTTACTGATTTTAAATCTTGGGTACTGAAGCTAATATCACCAGTAATACCAAAGCACAAATTTTGCCAAAATACATACAAAATAATGTTCAATTAATCAGTTACAAAATTTCTTTAATCCCTCTCTTGACACATAAAATATGTCAAAACTATAAGAAATTTTATGAAAACTTCATAAAGAGAAGTTATAACATCTGTTATCATAGCATAGAAAGCTCACAACAACCAAGCTCCTTGAAATATTTGTTGTAATTATTTCCATCGATAACACGTGTTTTTTTTTCTCTCTCTTTCAGAAGAAGATGCACCTGGACCAGTCCTCCTTTGTTTATCTGTCTCTCTTTCCTGTCCCCAATCCCAGCCGGTCGAGGCAGATGGCCGCCTGTCCTGAGCCTGGTTCTGCTGGAGGTTTCTTCCTGTTAAAAGGGAGTTTTTCCTCTCCACTGTCACTAATGTGCTGCTCAGGATGGGAGACTGTGGTGAAATAAAGGTTCAACACAATCTGCTGGCTTCTTTAGATTTAGACTTGGTGCTAAATAAACTGAATTAAATTCAATTAATGTGAAATATTTGATAAAAGAAATTCACGTGATGTAATTATAATTAGGTGTACAAATAAAAAGGCAGGTTGATCTTAATACTGACTCTATGTAATTTATCACAGGGCAGTTGTGTCTAAATGTGTCAGTATTTCACAGCAAACATAAAAAGGAAAGACTGTACAGCTTTATTATGCACCAAAAAAGTTGACCGACCTAAACACACACCACATGGCTTTAAACTCTAATCAACCTGTCAGTAGACAGATATCTTTCAGTTTTTGTTAAATTATTCACACACAGGATATGTGGATAATGGTGGCAATTTGTWTAACTTAACATGTCTGAAATGTTTAATTCAAGTAGACAATTGAGATTATGATGAAAACTTCTATGCTGAATTAAAATGCGTTTAAAATATCACCATCCAAAATGTGTTACGTAGTTCTCTTGTATTTTTGTTTGCTCATGCAAACCTTAGTTTATAATGTGCAAAATACTTTATTATATGTTCTACTAGACTAGAGGTTTCGTTTCTTGCATTAAGACAGCATTTATTGAAATTACACTTAAAATATTTAGAAATGATAAACACAAAATTTGATCTAATGATAATAGTAGTTTTGAACACCTAAAATTTTTCACTTGATTTTTTTCCATGCTGTTCTTAATGCAAGTTTTGCTTTACCTTGTCAAATTACAAAAAAGCAAAACGCAATGGTATTTGGTACTCCCATGTATGGGACAGGGTTCAAATCCTTGTGTTGCCTTGCTAATTGTACTGACAATAAAGTTAAAACTATTTCAAAAATAAAGTTTTGAACTTAAGAAATTGATTACACACTTTATTTAAAAACTACAATTATATTTACAAGTAGCCTAAATTTAGACTCTTATAATGTAGTATACTGTCATAGTTTGGGTTTTTGGTTTCTGTTTTTGTATTATGATTAGGTTCTGTTTGTTGAGAAGGTTGAGCAGGCTCAACGCTTGGTGGAGGTGGGCGTTTCTGTGAAAGGCTTGTTTTTACAGGTGACGCCACTAACATTATCCTCAACTAAAGTAACTTTATCAAACGTACCTCCGTTCATAAGTGACGAGTTTTTGATTAAAGAGCTGACCTGACATGGTAAAATAGTTTCACCAGTGAAAAAAGTACCCTCTGGGTGCAAATCACCATTACTAAAACATGTTGTCTCCCGTAGGAGACAACTGTTTATGGTATTAAATC